ACGGGGGGCGGCGGGCAGCCCGGCGTGGACGCGACCCCCGTTCTTCGCGTGTCCCCGCAGAGCCCCGGGCTGCTGCCGCCACTTCATGGTGAAGCTGCTGGACGACGGCCGCGTCTCCGGCCCCGACGGGGAGGCCCACGCCTCGCTGGACGCCCTGGTCACCCACCACCGGCGGACGCCGCTGCGGCCCCACGGGGACCTACTCACCCAGGCCTGCCCGCAGGTGAGGGCCCGCCCGCCCTCCTGACCCCACTCGCCCCCGTCTCCCCCCTCCCCGCCCCGGGACCGCGGCTCCTGGGCCGAGGGGTGCCGGCGCGAGGCTCAGAGGGCGTGGCCCAAGCGGCGGTGGGTAGGACTTACGTCGCCACAGGGACGGGTGGGCGTGGCCTGCCTGAGGCCCGTCAGTGGGCGGGACCCCCTACACCACTAGGCCAAGCTTTGGGCGGGGCCTACATGCCCTACAAGGCCCGGTGGGTGTGGCCTGCTTGAGGCCCATCTGCGGGCGGAACTTACACTCCCTACAAGGCTCCGTGGGCAGGCGGGCCTCAGATCCAGTGGGGGCGGGGCTCATCTCCCTGTGAGCCCGAGTGGGCGTGACCACCTATGAGACCGGAAGTTAGGCGGGGCGTATTTCCCTGTAAGGCTCGGTGGGCGTGGCCAACCTGAGACCTGTCTGTGAGTGGAGCAGGACTCCCTACAGGCTCGGTGGGCGTTACCAGCCCAGAGACCCGGCTGTGGGCGGGGCTCCCGTACCCACACGGATCGGTGGGCGTGGCCTAGGCCCGGCCTTCCCGGGTGGGAGGTGCAATCCCCGACTCCCCCGGCGGTGGGGTCCCGGCGCGCCTCCCCCTGCGGAGCTGACCCCCGCTCCCCTGCAGGAGGACCCCGCGCACGCCGACTACGCCGACCTCCTCCTGCAGTGGCGCGCGCTGTCCGCGGCCGGCCCGGCGGCGCTGGGTCCCGGGGACCCCCGCGGCCCTGCCCCGGGTCCCGAGGAGGTAGGCGCGGGGTGCCGGCGCCCGCACGGGTCTACGGCGCAGCCTGGGAGTTCGCCAGCCTCGCCGGGGCTCCATGCCCGGCCCGGGGCCGGGGGACGCACGGCTGCGGGGTCAGGCGGGAGCCCCACGATCCCAGCCTCCGGCCTGGGTGGGGACCGAGGCCCCAGCCCCC